TGTGTGACTTCCATTGGAGCGTGGGAGAGAGGGTGACCCCAAGGCTCCTTGCCGCCATCACGAAGGGGATCTTATGTCCGTTGACAGTGATGCAAGGCAAAGTGGTGAGGTCAAGGGCAGTCACATACAATTCGCTGCCCAAGATCATAGCCTTCGTTTTGGCAAGGTTGAGATCAAGGCCATTGCTCAAGGCCCAATCAGCCACCGCTTGTGCATCTCGCTGGGCCTCCACGATGCCACGCTCAATGTCCCGCGGGGAACAATGCACATATATTTGCGTGTCATCCGCATAGATGATATACTTGGCAGATAACAAGACCAACGGAAGGTCGTTGATGTAGATTGCAAAGAGTAGAGGGCCAAGGACACTCCCCTGCGGGACACCGGTGGAAGCGCGGAGCCACTCAGAGACAACGCCTCCCTCATCTACCACCGCCTGAAGGCGATCCGCCAAATAGTTGAAAAACCATTTGAGTGCTTTGTCGGAGAGGTTTATATTGCGCAGTTTGGTGATCAGTCGCAAGTGGCAGATGCGGTCAAAGGCTTTTGAGAAGTCAAAAAGCACGAGGATGGTGAGAAGCCTGTTTTCGGTAGCAAACCGAACATCGTCGAGAAGACCAAGGAGCGCGGTCTCGGTAGAATGTCCCCTTCTAAATCCGGCTTGGCGGGAGTCGAGCAGGTGATGCTGCTGAAGGTAGGCTGACAATTGACGATGGACGAGGCGCTCGAAGAGCTTCGAGGGCTCACATAGCTTAGCAATAGGTCGTGTGTCCGAAAGGGAGGTAGGAGACTTCACTTTGGAGAGCGGGACAATTTGCGTGCGCTTCCAGAGCGTGGGGAAAAGTGAGTTTGTAATTGAGTGATTAAAAAGCATGGTGTAGTACGGAAGGACAGTTTGCGAAACCATCGAGAGCATTCTCAGCGAGATCCCGTCCTCTCCTTTTGACTTTGAGTGGGCATCCGCGAGAACATCCTCCACGTCCTTGACTGACACCTGGTTTAGATTGAATTGGGGAAATGAGAATGAGCGAGAGAGTGGTATCGATGTGAGATTGTCGAAGCAGGAAAGAGTAATAGGCGGAAGCTGGTTAACGATTTTGGCGAAGTGACAGTTTAACGCTGTGGGTGAGAAAAATGATAGTGGAGACGGCATGGATTTTTGTGCAATGCCGAGACAGCGAAGCTCTCTCCATTTGGTCTTGGGATCTGTGGCAGATGCAAGTTTGGCCGAGATGTGGTTATTTTTTGCAATGTCAAGCTGATTTGAAACACGGTTTCGAAGGTCTTTGTACCTCCGAATGTCACCTGGAAGCGCAGTTATTTTTGCTCGCTTGTAAGCCGCCGTGCGAGCACGCATGAGGATGCGAATGTCGGCTGAAACCCACGGCTTAGCCTTGGCAGACAGTTTTGTCTGGCGAACCGGGGCAAGGGTGTCAAAGGCTTTCAGCACGGCGTTTGAGAGGAAGCGTTCGAGTGAATCCAGGGACATTTGAGTTGGATCAGTAAGAATAGTCTGCGGTGATGGATACTGTACGGCAACGCCCTCGGCAACCAGTAAATTTAGCTGCACTGTGTCAACACTTTTCAGTTTGCGAATGAGGATGGTTTTCGTGGCTGAGGGGGGAACCGTGGCGTAGATAGAAAGCTCGATAAGGTCGTGACAGTCAATAAATGGGGCCGGCGTTTTTGAAAAGGAGCGGATATCTGTGTCATTTTTAATTAAGAAGAGGTCCAGAAGAGTGTGAGAAGCATGACCATCCTGGAATCGATGACAAGTAGGCAGCATGGAGACGACTTTTAAGGCGTAGCACTCGATTTGTTCTCGGAGCACGTTGACGTAGTGTAGTGTGTGCGATAAGAGATTGCAGTTGAAATCCCCACAAATTATCACGTCATGATAATTTGGGAGAAGAGGGACAATAGTTTGGAAAAAATTCAGTGGACCCAACGCAGACGGGCGACGATAGACTACAGCAAGTAGAAGTTTTGCATGTTGTTCTCGTAATTCCACCACCAAAAATTCCGACGCATTGTAGTCATCAGGATGCGATTTGGCAATTATGCGAACGGAGAAGTTGTCACGAATGTAGAGAGTAACACCACCACCTTCCATGGCTGAGCGATCATGTCGAAATAGGTTGAATCCAGAGAGAGAGAGGTGAGAGTCAGCCACAGTATCCTTTAGGAACGTTTCTGTGATGGCAACAGCGTCATAGTGTGAGTGGGATACTCTGTCCTCAAGAAGGGCGAAATGGCCGCCGTGGTTCAGGCGATTCACATTTGCGTATGCTACACAGAAAATGGGAGGGGGGGCAACAATTGGGGGCTGTATTGATCCTGAGGGTCAATCAATGGTAGGTGGATTTCCCATAGTGCATTCAGTTGGAAGGGATGCATCTTCTGCAATGTGGGAAAGTTGACGGTAGTTCGTCCCACTTGAGAGTGAAGGCTCCACCGTATCCATTGCCAGTGAAGACATTCGTGGGGCAGCATCGGGACTGATGCTCGGATGATTTAGAAGTGGGGGTTGGCCAGTGTGAAAATTGGAGGATGCTGTAACAGCGGATGAGGGATGAGCAGGCAGAACGGGGAGCAGATGCGGACCAGAGTTTTGCGCCGTTTTCCGGCCACGGTTTTTCTGCAAGCATTTTTGTTGGTGCGTGGCTTGCAGGTGCGGTAGCTGGGGCTGTTGGAGTGGCTGATGCTGGGGTTGGGCATGGAGCGTATGGGGCTGGTGGTATTGTTGCTACAAGGACGGGGGTTGTTGATGAAACTGTTGAGACAATTGTGGTGGCGGATGCTGTAGTTGCTGACCATGCAGAGGTTCCTGTTGTTGCTGCCGTTGAGGTGGTTGCTGCTGCTGTTGCTGTGGTATCTGCTGCTGTTGCTGTGGTGGTTGTTGCGCTTGTTGGTATTGTAGTAGCGAAGGTAACTGATGCGGGTATTGATGCTGATTACTTTATGGTTGCTGCAGTCGCTGGGACTTTCGTGGAATGAATGGTCGAGAGCCACGAGTAGGGGTAATAGCATTGAGTGAGAGGTTTGCTGAGCGGTTTTGATTTTGATTGGGGGGGAGAAGGTGTAAATCCTCCTCGCAGAGAATCGGCAAAAGCTCAGAATTAAATGTCGGTCGCACGAAGATACGCAGATTGCGGACTACAGGACGGAGATAGCCAAGAGATGTGCAGGCAGCTCTAGCTTTTGTGAGGAGATCGTAGATGACTTTGGGGTAGACTGGGCGCACGTAGACAGGGGTGCTTCCACCGCACCCAAAAATGGATAGGGCGGTGAGCTCATGAATACGAGCTGTTGCAGCGATAACGCGATCGCGAGAGGAGGTTGATGAGAGGTAGAATGAGAAGGTGATAAAAGGGGGGCGTGGGTGAGAGGACTCTGCGGGGGCGTCGACATTTTGTTGAGCATTTTGGTAGCGGTTTGGCTGATACCATTCTCGGGTGGCCTCGATAGCAGGCATGTCATGGCCGTGGCCAAAACCAAGGGCGCTTAATATGTAGCGAGCGGCATCATACAGTGAGCCATTAAACTGCGAGGGAAGCCCGCGAACCATAACCTCTGGGGTATCAATGTGTGCAGCAAGTTTATTGTTGATCTCGTTTTGTTTGACGGAATGCTGGAGAGTGGAGCTGATAGAGTTGATGTCGCTTCTGAGGTCTTGGAATTCCTCGAGGAAGCCAACAAACCAAGTAGGTGGTTTATCAGACATGATTGGCTCTGATGTAGGCTCAACCTGTATAGTCTGGTGAGAGGCAGTAGAGGAATTTTCCAACGATGCAGGCGAGGATCTGTCTACAGTTGTAGAATTGCGGCGTAACAATGGAGGACCCAGGCAATGGAGTTTCGGTACGTGTAAGCTAGACAGAGTGGGCGAGGCGAGCCGCTTCTTGGAGAGATAAGGCAAGAGGGACGCACCAGTGGCCGGTGGACCTACTGGTGAAGACTGGGGAAGAGCCTCGACGACAGACGCCAACGACGAGTCACTACTACTTGTATGTTGATGACTCCTGCAGATGAATGGTTCAGATCCCCTGGGACGCAGTGACGGCGATACACAGTCGATATGAAGGAGCGCGTTACATTCAGTGCATAAAAGAGTATTGTCGATACGGCGCAGGGAAAACAGGCATTTAGCGCATTGACTTGACATAGAACCAGGCCGGTGTAGACAGACAGGGGAAAGCTACTTGAGCGAGAGATGCTGGCAGAGGCAACAATTGATTGTCCGAACGTAGAGAGTTTGACGATTTTCGAATTTCGCGGGTGATTGCGTACCAAGCAGACTCTAGCCAGCAACTTTTCCCAGCTGAGCAGGTATACAAACGTACAGGCTAGATGTAAACATAAACACAGTATATGGAAACTCAGCAATACTTATAAGAACGTATTATATGAAATGCACGATAACACAAGGGAACGCAAGAGAATATAATAATGCAAATTTATGCAACGCATATAAGGATGCAGATAGGCATGCACGAGATTTGTGTTTTTTCTCTCTCTCTCACCAACATGTAGGTAGAATGCAGTCGAGAACAGCTACGGCAGGTTGGAGCAAAGTCGAGTGTGTTCAATGAGTGCAGCAGTAACGATATGCAGCTAATGCAGTGGACGCAGATGAGAGCGTAGTGTGTAGTAGCACAGATGAAACCGTAGTGTGTAGAAGCGTAGGTGTGCAGAAGCGTGTGTGTGTAAGGCGTTGTTGCTTAAGTTTGTAGGTTATGTTGTGTAGCTGGGTATTTAATCGCCTCCGCGGCTCGAAAAAGGCAATAAAAATTGCAATTTATTGCCCAGGCATGAGAGCCACAGTTGGCGAATACCCTGCAAAGTGAGTTTTCACTCCAAGAAGGAAAACAAAATGAGTAAGGCAGAGTATTGACGGAGCAGAAGAAAGAGGTATTGTACGTACCACAGAGAGAGAGAGAGAGATGTAATGAAACAGAAAAAGACATGGAAAGAAATACAATTACTTAATGGTATACTACCTCTAGTATTCCAAGGCGCTATAGTTGAGCTCAAAAAAAATGGTGATTCTGGTATTTTCGTAGTTAGATGCAGCACAGACGGAGCTAATGACTTATTTGACTTCATTATTTTTAATTCCCTTTCATCTTCATTTTCGGTATTTTGCTCAGCTTCATTACTACTTTCATCTACATTGTCATGATTAGTCTCGTCTTCATCGTCGTCTTCTACGTTATCAATGGACTTATTGTCACCTTGGAGTAGAGTAGTGGGCGATCTGCAAATAATGCACTTCATTCAAAATCTATATTAAAGATATATAGTATTAAAGATAAAGTGAGAAAATTGAAAACGTAAACAGCACATATATTATCTACTTGTAATGCTAGATAGTCAGACTAATAAATATATTCTTTGTTTCACAATTTATTATTTATAATAATATTTTATTTAACTATAACAAATAAATAATAATTAACTAAATCGAAGTAATTTTTGCGCAATATACACTCAGGCTTAGGAAACATAATTTACTTAATGGTTGCATTTTCCTGAAGTGATCCACATTATTTCTAATTTAAAAATAGTACGCAGAGTACGCAGGGATACCTCCGTGCGCGACAGCGAGGCGCGGAAAGAGAGAGAGAGAGAAACATAGTCGCGCCTGAGCGAGTTACCGCGCGCACTGATTGACTCATTAGAACGAAATCGAGAGTCGAGCCGGCGACGCACTAGAGAGTTGTTGTTGTGTGGACTCGCGAGCGAGAGGACAAGTTCTTTGTCCCGACGACTTTCTTTGCTCGGATCTCAGTTGTGACCAGACACCTCCCTTTTCTTCCAATCTTAGACTGAGTGTGCCCTTATAGTCCAATCAACAGAGACAAAAAAGGCCTGTTTCAGACAAAAATTCCGGGATGGGTTTTCTCGACGAAAATCGCTTCAGTACAATGTAAATAGGAATTCTTGATAAAATGCAACTCCTAATTTATTGTCAGATTTTTTTTATGAGCGCTCAAAGTTGGCGAAATATGGTTTTTTCAATCTGCAAGCCACGGTATGCATTTTAGCTGAAAAATTTTTTGTATAAAAGTTGTAGGCAATAGCAAAAGCTACAATTTGAGCTGTCGTGCAATTTTTTTCGTTTGTTAGTTATTGAAAAAAGCCCTAAAAACCTTTAAAAATGGCCATTTTTACTAAATCGAATATTTATTGCAAAAAGAACTTTTTTTAATGTTTATGACTCTTAAAAGAAAGCTCTTGTGATTCTAAAAAAAATGAATCGTCACACGATTATTTATTTTTATTAATTACTGATATATTCTAATTAGTTAATTAAGATACATCCAAAGTTCGGGGCTGTAAAATTTTTTTGGCCGAAGTTATCGAGTTGTAAAACAACTCAATCTCTTTGTCAAAACGTTAATTTTAATAAATGATTGGGAACGAATCAAAAAATTAATTTGCAACCCCTAAATTTTGACTTTAAAAAAGTGCGCCTTTTTTCTTTTATAAACAATTAGAATTGCGGCTTCCCTATGCATTATAGAGATTTCTTTTTTAGAAATTCACATATCTGAGATCAAGGTGCATATTTTGAAAAAAAAAATTGTTTTTCGACCAATAGGAGCCGAGATAATTTTTTTGTTGTTTAAATCGCCATTGTTGTAATAATGAAAATTAACAAATCGGTCCAAGGGCATTCGATCGTTATTAAGTTATATTTTTTCATTACGATACAAGGCTTTACATATTTTGGCTTTTTAACAATTAAAATGACGTTTCATTTCCAGCACGAGAAAAGCCAAAGGTCGGAGGCGGAGGTGGGGGGCCTCCCTCGCGCGCTTGGAAATACTGAAAGTCCGCGTTCAAATAGACGCGCTTCGCAAAAATCAGGCTTATCTCGCGAACTATTGCATCAAATTCGATCATTTTTTTTTTAATTTGGGCTAGCTTCAAAATATATTGAGATTGGTGTAGTTGTAATTACTATATTTAGTGCTAATCGTTTATTATTAATTTAATTGAATTCATACATATCAGTGTATGTATAAATTCCAATTAATTATTACTTCATATCCGTAAATATGGATAAGGATAAATAATAATCAATATATTTTCAATTATTAATAACAATATTTTAATTTATATGCACACGTAGGCTATAGTTTACATGATTTCTTATTTTCTAATCGTGCCTAGTTCTTTTCGGCGCAGACTCATTTATTTCGTTTTTATTGCATTCTTCATTCAACATTACTTCTACAAGACTACTTAAATTATACTCTTCGTTATCAATATGATTTTATTCATGTATTTCTTCTACGTTCGTACAATTATCCCCGTAGCAAAATCCACACAAGCGAGAACATTTGAGGCCATGTTTGCGGCAGCTGCACGCAGCTTTACAGCCTTTTTGGCATCTACAAGATATTTTTTCTGATACTTTGGGAGGTATCATTAGCTCTGAAATGGTCACACAGCTCGGATATCGCTCATGGGCAAATCCGACGTTACCCAGCAACTCATGAGTGAGGCGGAAAGAGACTGCGTGCGTAAGTTCCTTCTGGGCTTCAAAGACAGCGCCTATAACTATAATGTTACGGATCAAGGGATCGAAAAAACCGGAAAAACAGACACTTGACGTTGAGCTGTAGAACAAACAGGTTTCCCCATTGTTTTTCTCGCGAGCACCTAATAATTTGTTTGTTAGATAAAAAAAGTGTGCCTGTTCTAATAATTTTTATCTTTTGCCTTAAAATTTATTAAACTTATTTCTTCTCATACTATCTTTAACATTGGGTTTCTTTCAAGGAAGTTCTAGCGTATAATGAATTGACAGTCCGAAAAAGATGAAACTTAAAGCGTATATAGTTAAACATATAAAAAGGACTCAGTAAAATTTTTGAGGTGCTAGGGAGTCCCTGAGCTAAGATATTTTGAAAAACATTTTCTATCATTTAGCATGCATTCTTATGTAAAATCACTTTTTTGTCGTACTCAATCACTCACCACAGATTAGCTGACAGTTAAAGGTCAACGAAATATTTTTTGATCGCAAGAAAAATTTTTGTCAAATATATCTAGATTGTAAGATTATTCGAGGGGAGCATGTAAATTTAATAGCAAATAAATAAAGTTCCGAAAATGCGTATTTCCGAGTTGACGTAGTAGATGTGGCAACACTGTAGTCGTATCCAACGTTCAATTGCCTTACACTGTCGAGTAAGTCGACAGTTGCCGGTCAGCACGAGCCGGCTACAGATGTGTGCCTTTGTCTGTACACATTCACACGAATACGAGTGACGCGGTGTTGCCACATCATGTACCTCGCAAATCAAGTGCACGACGTTTCTTGCTTTGACTTGCTAGGTACCGCTAGTACTCCCTTAACACGTCAATCACAAAACAGGTGATTTTGTTTATGAATTCTGATCGATTTATCTTTTGGTTGCATATTGATGCTGTCTCAAGAATGAATAGCATAAAATAAGATATCGAATATATCAATTACTATTCGAAAAATTAACTGCTACTGAATTTGAATAAACATACTTACATAGTTTCTATCCTTCTAAACGTTTTGAATTCGAATGCTTTTTTTATATGGAAAAAAATTTTTCGTAATTATTACGGTTAATATATCGTAATAAGTCTCTTTACTTCATACATCATGAAATAATCGTGCTTATATTGTAACTAATAAAGTCAGAATACTTGGCCGGTAAAGCCAAGATCAAGATATCTTTCCAAGATTTCAGTATTCGAGCTTGAAGCAGCACCTCATAGTTAAATACCAAAGGTCCAGACTGGTTTGAATACAGCTTTATATAGCAGTAATTTGTTTTCGATTGACAGTTCCGATTATCCTCCTACGAGCCAGTACATTTTTCTCCATTTCAGTTCCAACTGTTTATGTTTTTTATGTGTTCTTATAATATGTATTCTTTCCATGTAAGCCTTCGGTCCAAGTAAATACCGAAATATTTTACTTGGTTACTTTGCGGGATGTATTTGTCGCTTAAACTAATAGGTGGACAAGTATCTTTTCAAAGTGTAAACATTGTATGTATTGATTTACTTTTGTTTACTATTATTCTCCATGAGTTGAACTAATTTTGAAGATGATTATTAATGTATTTTTGGATTATTTCTGATGCTATTGTTGGGTCTGAGTGTGTTGTTAGAATTGCTGTATCATCTGCGTATGTTGCTGTCAGAATGTTTTCAGATTTAGGTAAGTCTGAGGTATACTGTAGATAAAGAGTTAAACGGAGAACACTGCCCTGCGGCACTCCTGCATTTATTAACTAGCGTTTTGATTCATTCCTATTTATTCTAACTTAAAATGCCCTGTTTTGTAAATATGACCGTAATATTTCGTAGTGGCTTACAGAAAAAAAACTTTTAAGCTTATGTAATAGCCCTTCATGCCATACTCTGTCGAATGCGTGGGCTACATCTAGGAAAATACCAGTACAGTACTTTTTCTCTTCGATGGCTTTCCTCGCAGCAGATACCACCACTCTATCTACCGTGGAGTGATTAGACCTAAAACCAAATTAATGGTTTGGAATCAACGTTTTATTTATTATGATTGGATCAATTATGGCTAAAATTAATTTTTCGAAAATTTTTGATAATACTGGTAGAAGGCTGATGGGACTATATGATATTACATTTCCTGCTTCTTTACCAGGTTTAGGTATTAGTATTATCTCATATATTTTCCACTGAGTGGGAAAACAACAGAGACGTAAGCAGGCATTGTAAACAATTGTTATAAATCTAATTGTTATTGTAGGTAACATTTTAATCATTTTTCCTGTAATATTGTCAAAACCGGGGGCCTTCCTATTCTTAATATTATTAATTATTTGCAATAATTCCTTAATTGTTATTGGTGTGCTATCTTATACATATGAGCTTTTCAGTAACATTTCTTCTTCTAGTTTGGAGATTATTCTTTGGTTGGGTGTAAATACTGCAGAGAGATGTTCTGAAAACATTTCTACTTTTTCTTCGTCAGATTTAGCCTATTTTTCTGCAGGTTTTTTAATAGGTGGGATAAATGTAACTGGCCTTTTGAGACGTTTGGTGGCTTTCTATAGTGAATAATCCGTTGCTTCTGTTGGGCTTAGAGTTTTGAAATAATTCTGTGTTTTTATATTTCTTTCTTCGTATAACAATTTCTTCAGTTTTTCAGGTGTTTCGTTTACTTTTTTGTTTATCTTCACTCGATCTAATTATTTGGTACCTTTTCCTTAATAATCTTTTTTC